AAGAATTGTAAGATGGCTGTCACACCTTCTGATACAAATCAGAAACTGGATTCAGACTCTGAAGGAAAGGATGTGGACGCTACAACCTTTAAACAGTTGGTTGGTTCTCTGAGGTATCTGTGCAATACCAGACCTGATATTTGCTACTCAGTTGGGATGGTTAGTAGGTTCATGAGTAAACCTAAGTGGTCCCATTACCAAGCTGCTGTCAGGATTCTGAGGTATATCAAAGGAACTCTGAAGTATGGAGTGTTATTTCCCTCTGGAGGAAATAATGAGTCAGAACTTCTGAGTTATTCAGACTCTGATTGGTGTGGAGACAGAGTTGACAAAAGAAGTACATCTGGGTACTTGTTCAAATTTCTGGGAGGTTCCATTTCTTGGTGTTCCAAGAAGCAACCTGTTGTGGCGTTGTCAACCTGTGAAGCTGAATACATTGCAGGTGCTGTTACTGCATGCCAAGCTGTGTGGATTCTGAATCTGTTGCAGGATCTGAAGATTAAAGTAGACAAACCTCTAAAGTTGATGATTGACAACAAGTCTGCAATCAATCTTGCCAGAAACTCAGTGTTTCATGGGAGAAGCAAGCATATTGAGACCAAGTATCATTTCCTGAGACATCAAGTTCAGAGTGGAGTGTTAGAAGTTGTACACTGCAGCACTCAGAAGCAGTTGGCAGATGTTCTAACGAAAGCTATCAAGACTAATCAATTTCTCAGACTAAGGGATGGAATTGGTGTTACAAGTTTTGATGGAATATGAATTAAGGGATGGTATTAGAATATTAATAGTAATTCATATTTATTTAGTTGTACTATTTTCTTATCCCCTAAGTTTGTTAGAGGGTATTTTAGTATTTTATCTTATTCTAGTAACCCTAGTTTTAGCTTATAAATAGGGTGACAATCATTTTAACTTTTATCATGTTTTGTAGCCGTCATTCTTAATAGAATATTTCCTCTGTTCATCATTTATTCACCTTTGCACCAACATTAATATAATCAACTGCAGTGAGTGAGTCCGACTGGAGAATGATCCTATCAAACTTTAAGGTTTTTGCCAAAGAGATGCCACATCTTATGACAAAAGATTCTGCAACCTCAGACCTAACAATAATGAATTCCTTACGACTAGTTGTTAACATAATATTCTTTTTCTGGTTTTTAATAACACAACCAAAAGTTGTAAACTCACCCAACTGGAGCCCCACATCAACTTGCAACACATGAAAATTCCCATGATTCGACCCCACCACACATTGAGCAGCCTTTTTCTCCTTGGAGGGAATCTTAGGATTCACCTTATTAAAATCTGAGACAAAATCGAGGGCTTCCACAACAACTTTGGCCGGCTCAACGCCCTTCTTCTGGAAACACAACAAGTTTCGAGCATTCCAAACCTTATACATCAATGCACAAAGCAACTGAGTGCTCAATAGGTTACCGCATGTGAGAATGCTCAACAACCACTCGTTAATATGAAGGTCCAGTGGAATCCTGTAGCCCATAATAGAGAAAAAGAAAACTTGTTTCACAAAGGGACATACCATGAAAAGATGTTGGGCAGATTCACCAGCAGAATAACAAAACGGACAACAATTGTCAAGCCTAACGCCTTTCTTGATAGGGTTATCATTCAAAGGGAGGATATTTTGAGCCAACCTCCAAATAAAGTTCGTATTCCTAGAATGGATTTTGGACTTACAAATCTCCTTCCACAGTTGACTGAAAGAGGGACAAGAATGCCCAGGTTTTTTTGGCCATACGAGACTTCAGGCTAGAGTGATAAGTCATACGAACGAAATACTCCCCATGTTTCTCAAAGTGCCAAATTATATGGTCATCTAAGTTCCTTGAAGAAAGGGAATGCTAACAAATTATTTAGCCTCCCCCGGATCAAAACAGTTGAAGATCACATCATTCTTCTAACACCCTAGATCACAATCCATGAGGTCCTTCACCTTAGCATCATCCTCAATGCCAAACCTTGGCCCAATAATTTTAAAACCAAAGTTCTCTAGGAGCCATCTATCATGACAGATCGAGACTTTCTCCCTATTGCCAATCTTCCACCTAGAACCACTATTAACAAGGTCCTTAGCACTGAGGATGCTTCTCCAAGCATAGATTGGAGCAAAACCCAAAGAACTTTCAGCAATTGAGGTGCGTGGATAATATCTGCATTTAAACATTTTAGCCATCAACGAGTTGTCCTCCATGAGCAACCTCCAGTAGTGTTTTCCCAAAAAGCCTAAACTACTGTCACTTTTAGCCTTGGCCAACTAGTATCAACTCATCTAGTGTATTTTATTCTCCCCGTCCTTGGCAGCCCACCATAATCTAGCCAACATAGCCTCAATTTTATGGCAAATAGGCTATGGCAACTTGTAACAGCTCATGATGTAAGACGAGATAACCTGATCCACATATTTAATAAGCAGTTCCTTCCCTGCTCTAGATAGAAACTGCTCCTCCGACCCTTTAAGCTTTTTCCAAACTCTCTCGATCACCAAGGCAAAAATGTCTCTCTTGGATCTCCCAAAAATTGCCGGCAGACCAAGATATTTAGTGTGTCTAGAGACTTCCTTGACACCCAACCTGGCTCGAATTAAATCATTTTCCTTAGAACTCACATTGCGGCTAAATGAAACCTAATATTTCTGTAAATTCACCATCTGACCAGAAGAATCTTGATACTTCTTAAGGACTCCTAGTAAACAGTCTGCCTCTTTAGCATTAGCTTTGGCAAAGAGCGAACAGTTGTCGATAAAAAATAAGTGTGTAATGAAAGAAGCCTTTCTTGCCACATGACCACCATGAATCTTCTTGTTATGGACCTTTTGCTTCAATAAACCTGAAAAACATTGCCACACAAAATAAACAGATACGGAGATAGATGGCCCCCTTGACAGATACCCCTCTCTGGCTGGAAAGACGAGCTAGGTTAGCCATTCAACAAGATCTTATAGGAAACAGACAATTCTCACTTTATAATGAGGTTGACCAAGTTTGAGGGGAATCCCATAGAGGAGAGAACTTCAAGAATGAATGTCCACTCCAAACAATCATAGGCTTTTGCTATGTCCAATTTTAACGCCAAAACACCTTCTTCCCTTTTTAAAGGAAGCTTCTCATCTTTGAATCTCACCACCATTCTCTTTTTTACACGTATGTGGTCCTTGGGGCAAATCAGTTCTCAATATTAGGTCAAGGCCATATGCAAGTTATACGCAAAAGAATATGTGTCTCTTAAGATGGGACCATAACTATAAATATCTAACACAATAGTTAGATTAGATCATCACTGATTCACATATCAAAAACCTAAAGATTATTGTTTGATTAATCAAAGGCATGGTCGTCTCTATTGTACTCACCATAAGTACATAATCATATCATATTACTAACAACAACAACAACACTCAAGCCTTATCCCACTAAGTGAGGTAAGCTACATGGACCAACATTCACTATAATGTTCTACCTAGGACCATGCTTTTATCTAAATCGTTAATCTTGAGATCTTTCTTAATAAATTCTCTTATAGTTTTTCTAGGTCTTTGTTTTTCTCTAGTTGTTTGACGTCTCTCCATCTAATTTATTCTCATTACCACTAAATCTACAGGTCTTCTCTCATTTCCAAACCACCTAAGTCTATTTTCACCATATTCTCTACTATAAGTGCCACCTCAACACTCTTTCTAATATTTTTATTTCTAATCTTATCTTATATAGTCTTACCACACATCCAACACAATATCTTCATCTCTACTACACTTACTTTATTTTCGTGTTGATTCTTAACCACTCATCATTCTCTCCCGTACAACATTGCATGTCTTACCACATTTCGATAAAAATTTCTCTTCAACTTGAGTGGTACCTTAACGTCACATAAAACCCATGAAGCTCTCTTCAATTTCAACCACCCAGTTTGAGTTCGATGATTTATATTCCCTTATGCTTCTCCATCATTTTGTATTACAGACACAAGATATTTAAATCGAGTGGTTCGAGAAATAATATGGTCTTCAACTTTCACCTCTGAGTTAGACACTCTTATTTCTTTGTTGAACTTACATTCTATATATATTGTCTTACTTCTACTTAGGCAAAAACCATGAATTTCTAAAACTAATTTTCATGTCTCCAACCTCATTTGACTCTCCAAGTAATACTATATCATCTACAAAATGCATGTATCTTGGCGCTAGCTCTTAAATGTGTTTCATGAGTACATCTAACATTAAGGTGAGAAGGTAGAGACTTAGGGTTAAATCTTGATGCAAGCCTATTATAATGAAGAAATCTTCTGTCTCTTCACCCTGTGTCCGCACACTACTCAATACCCCTTCGAATATATGCAAATCCTTACCACGTTTTCGCTAACTTTCCATAAAATTTCTTTAGGCACTCTATCAAACACTTTCTTTAAATCAACAAAAAATAAATATAAATTTTATTTGTCAATTCGATAATACTTTATCACACATCGTAATAGATAAATCACTTCATAATCAGTCTTTCAAATATAAAGCCAAATTAAATCTCAATGACTTTAATCTCTTTTCTTAATCTCCGTTTGATACTCTTTCTCTTTTGACTGATTAGATATAAATATAAATTTTATTTCAAGATATTTTGTCTTTTAAAAAATGATAATATCTTTGTCTTTTTTTGAAATTTTCATTATTACTATTTTCTTCTATGATCCTCCATCCATTTTTAATTAGATTTGGAATCGGTAACAACATTATGGAATCGGATTCCTTTCCAATTTCCATACATAAAATAACACTATATTTTTTTCATAACACGTGAAAATATATCTTCTTACATTTTCTTTTATATTCCTAAACTTAAAAGCAGACACACTGTACTAACCGTCTTTCATTTATGTCCTCCAGATCTAAGTACACAAATATTCTAATCCTCACCCAAACCCACCACAAAACCGCCATTAAAACCCCATCACATACTCTCTCTCTCTCTCTGAGCACGATGCAGTACAACAACCTCGGCCGATCAGGTCTCAAAGTAAGCCAGTTATCCTACGGAGCATGGGTAAGCTTCGGAAACCAGCTCGACGTCAAAGAAGCCAAGTCCCTCCTCCAATGTTGCCGTGACCACGGCGTCAACTTTTTCGACAACGCCGAAATCTACGCCAACGGCCGAGCCGAGGAGATCATGGGACAATCCATCCGCGAGCTCGGCTGGAAACGCTCTGACATAGTCGTTTCGACTAAGATCTTCTGGGGCGGTCAGGGTCCTAACGACAAGGGACTTTCGCGGAAGCATATCGTGGAAGGCACGCGCGCTTCGCTTAAGCGGCTTGATATGGAGTATGTGGATGTTATCTACTGTCACCGGCCTGATGTTAGTACTCCGATTGAAGAAACGGTTAGGGCTATGAATCATGTTATTGATAATGGATGGGCGTTTTATTGGGGGACTAGTGAGTGGTCGTCGCAGCAGATTACGGAAGCTTGGTCCGTTGCGAATCGGTTGGATTTGGTTGGTCCGATTGTTGAACAGCCTGAGTATAACCTCTTGAACAGGCATAAAGTAAATTCCTATCTTCGCATTTTTATTATGATTTTTAGTACACTCTAATCCGATTCGGTCAGAATGATAAAATTGCTCTATTCAAATAATAAAATAACATCTTTATCCCTATTAGAGTTTGGGCTAACACAACCTTCTAAAACCAGTTGGTAAGGTGAGGGGTGTCACTCTATATAAACTATTTCAATGCTCTATCTCCAACCAATGTGGGACTTTAGGATCTAAAGCTATAATATCATGTTAGAGTTTGGCCTAACACAACCTTACAAAACCGGTTGTTAAGGTGAAGGGTGAGACTCTATATAAACTATTTTAATGCTCTATCTCCAACAAATGTAGGACTTTAGGATCTTCCTAATAATTCTGTTCCACTTTATTCTGCAATGTTTTTTTTACAATTTCAGACCAAACGGAACAAAGCTAGATGTAACGGAATGGAATGAAGCGGAACGGTGTGATTCCATTGTTTGGATATTATATGATGGAATGTAACAGTAGTGTTATTCGAATGAAATGCATTTCAATCATGTTCCAACTCCATTTCATCCATGTTTTACCAATCCAAACAATAGAACATAACCTTATTCCATTCAATTTCGCTCAATTCCATCAATTCAAATATAGCTCAATTCTGTCAATCCAAATATAACCTTAGAGTTTAATGCAAGTTCTGCTTCAGGGTGCCCAATGCACGTTAGTGTTTTAAATCCAGGATATAGAGTTCCATTACTAGTTATCAAAAAATGGCTTATAAAATTTTAGTTTCAGTATCTATGTTTTATATTTTTAAATTTTAAAAAAACAAACTATTTTTTAATGTGATTTTAATAGGACGAGATCCTGTATTTAGGGATGGGGTTAGTATTATTGATAGAAGTATGCGTTTTTTATTCTTTTTAATTGAACATTTGAGTTGATTTGAGTGTGTGAATGTGTGTTGTAGGTTGAGAATGAGTATCTACCACTGTATTCTACTTATGGATTGGGTCTCACTACTTGGAGTCCACTTGGATCTGGAGTCCTAACTGGGAAGTACAAGAAAGGAGTTATTCCGGCAGATAGCCGTTTTGCTTTGGAGAATTACAAAGTAATTAACTTTTTCAAGTGTTTTTATTTAAAGATAATTCAGAGTCGTCCATTGCTGTGTCTTGTGATTGCATTTTGTAATTTAAAATGAATGTAGACTGAGAGAGCATGCTAGAAGAGGGAATGATTTGGGTTTAGAAAGGGACTAGGAAGGGACTGATTTGAGTCTTTCTAGATGAATATGAGAGAGTTTAAAGAGGAATAACATAGGGACTGGTTTGGGTTGGTAACTAGAACGAGAGATCATAATATACCAGGGGACTAGTTCGAGTCATATGGTGTCAGTGACCGATTTAAGTTTTTTTTATAGTATGAACAAATTCAGTGTTGAAAAAGAATACAGGGACTAATTCAGTCCAAAATTTTGACATATCATTACTGTTTTATATGGTGAGATTGATGGCCATATCAACATAGTAACTGTGTCCATCATCTAGTTATCATCTATTGGATAGAACTAAACAGAGGGAGTAATGCATCTCATTTGTAATGAATGATTGCCTTCTAAATTGACATAGGCTGTAACTTCATTGTTGTATGATGGATGGGAATGAAAATTTTGTCGACCCTTTTGTTTAGGTTACTGAGCAATTATTTTTCTTTTCCCACTTTTTCTCATGTGTTGTAGAATCTTGCATCTCGATCACTGGTTGATGACGTGCTCAAAAAGGTTGATGGCTTAAAGCCAATAGCAGATGAACTGGGTGTGCCATTAGCACAACTCTCAATTGCGTGGTGTGCTGCAAATCCTAATGTTTCGTCAGTTATCTGTGGCGCTACAAAAGAGTCTCAGGTTAGTTTTCACATTATCAATACATTTTTTAAGGACATCATTTAGGTATATTGAGAGCAATTGTGTTTATTTATTCCATCATACATTCTTTTCATTCTTGATACATTGTGCAATTAGCAAAGAATTCTAGTTGCAACTGGAAAATGTTTAGTAACTTACGTCGAGCATTGGCATGGGATAACTCAAACTTTCTATTATGTGTTATTAATATGGAGATGTATTCACATATTACCCAAGCGTGTAGAGTTTGGAGATACTCATTGTTTTCCTAATAACGTGAAAACTTTTCAAACAGAAGTGAATGAAACTAGTAAAAGAAAAAATAGGGGCATTTTTAGTTTTGTTTCCATTTTCTGGTTTCACTGGTTCTTGTATAAATCTGTGACAACTAGAAATTAACTGAAATCAAAGTGACGTTTTTGTTCTTAAAAGTACTGACAAGAAATTAAAACGAAGAGTGGGAAAAAAAATTAAAATAAACTCTATTTTAGGGTATTGCCCTGTTATTAGCTGCACTTCTGAATTATCCTCCCATTGAACCAAGACTTGAGCGGATGGGGTTCAGGGATCTACACTTCTGAATTATCATCCTCTGCCAAAAGAAGTAAGTACTGTAAATTGGGGCATCTATGATAAATAGAAAACTTGTCGTCGCAAGTGTAGCAAAGACCTTTTTACTCTGCGTGGGCTCCTTTCTGATGGTGTAGCAATGACCTTCTTCTCCCAGTTCCAAACGGATTTCCAGTCTAACTCCCATTCTCTCCCACCCTCAATAAAATAACCCTACTTTGCAAATCCTCCCGACTAATTCCTCCCAAGTGCCACTCACTAGAAAGCAATGCAACTTCCGCCCCACATTTAGGAAACTGATAATGTTTCACTTCTTTTCCTTCTCCTCTTGTAGACCCAAGTATTCTTGGCTTTGGAGTCTGGCCCATAATATAGTCATTCATAGAAATGGTATGGCCTATATGGGGATGGATCTAACTCATCTCTACAAAACCAACTTGTAAGGTGAGAACTGTCCAAGATTTATACACAAGCCATATCTCTAATGTGGGACTAAATCTAAATAAAAGCTCTAAGATAATCTCTGATACCATCTTAGATACCATCTTAGAATTTAGGATGAGCTTAACTCATCTCTGCAAAGATCTAGGATAGACTCTGATACCATCATAGTGGTTTAAGTGGCAAGGAGTTTGATTTTTCGTAAGTCTCAAGTTCAAAGTCCTTATATCGGGAAAGTTCTACCGGGTTCACTCAGATTATACCTAGGTTTTAGACCAAAAAAAAAGATAGAAGCTTACATATCTGTATATCCATTCATATATAACACTTATCTTAATGATGTATAACTTGCCTGCAAGAATGGACTTTACCATTATAATTTTATATTTTCTTTCTGCTTTCCTGTGCTTAGATTCAGAAGAACATTAAAGCAATTTAATGTCATTCTAAATTTGAGGCATAACTTGCTTGCACGACGAATACGCTCTGCATTCTTTGCCATTGTAAATTATCTTATTTTTTCTATTTTTCTTTGCTTAGATTCAAGAAAACATGAAGGCTATTAATGTCATTCCACTACTGACTCCTGCTGTGATGGAGAAGATTGAGGCTGTTGTTCAAACCAAACCAAAGCGCCCTGATTCATATAGATGAGTTTAAGGGTTTTGTATACTACACGACATATATGTGCATTCCACGGGTGGTTTCATGATCCCATTTCATGGGATTGCAACTTTATGTTAAAGTTAATATTGTTGCTGATGTTTACTCTGGTACTGAATATGCTTTTTTTAATTTTGGGTTTGAATTTTCCCAATGGGTTTTAGGAGCAATATACTCCAACGATTTAGAACGGGTTTATTTTCCTCCCTAATTGATATATGCTTGTGGTTTTGTATGATTTTTTTTCTTCAGTTTGGATTTTTATACAATCCAATTGTTTCTCTCGATCCTTGTAGTTATCTCTATCATGGGACAGCACATGAATAATAATTTTAGCTGTTTGAAAAGTGAGTGAGTATGGGATATAATTGAAATGTCACATATCTTTAGTTGATGATTTCTTAACAGTTAAAATGTTTTCTTAATGGTTTGTTCTTTCAAGAGGGAGGATCTCTCTCGAACTCTCGAACTCGAAAGTGGCCTTATGAATTTAAAAGTATATCTTCGATCTCTTTCGAAAATGGCTATATGAATTTAAAAATATATTTTTAAAAGCATCTATTTCATTCATAAGCATGTCTTTAGTGATGCACACTCTTATTTTTCTTTAAAAAATTAATTCGAAAATAATTGTTTATTTAACAATTTAGTGATAAATTTAGATTTGTCAAGTGAGATTTTGAAAGAATGCCACCTTTGATGTTAGTGAAAATATCGAAAGTGCATTTTCTAATGAAACAATTGTTAAAGCTTCTGGGTAATAATCATTATGTAACTAGGTACCGACTGTGCGAGGATGGAGAAACCGCTTGAGATATATTTTGGACTCATCTTGATTTCATAATGTTGTTCAACACATTTCAACATATAAGACTAACAAGTATATGGTTCCATTATGGGAAATTGTTGGTGTCACTTTTACTAATAATACTTTTTCATTGGGTTTGCATTTTTGGAAATCGAAAAAGAGGATAATGTTCTTTGGACTTTAGACGTGTGCCAGACAATGTTGAAGGAGAAGATTGGTTGTGCTTGGACTGATCAAGTTAGAAACTTTGGAAATAACAACTAACGAATTTGAATTTGTCCATCATACATTGAAGAATTGGTTGGGAAATAATAAAGGTGATTTGTGTAGAGTTTGGAACTTTGCGAACCAAATGGTCCAATATCAGCATAATAAGATACATAAAACATCTAGTCACAATATTACAGATTTGGAACACAAATTTAGAGACAACAATCTCTATTCACAATTGGCAGGTAATATATCTCGAACGAGATTGGACTTTATTTTTCACAAAGTCAAACGAGCTAAGAAAGTAGGTTCAGATAGCTCAAAGCGTGGTTGTACAATTAGAAAGACATACGATCTTCCATGTGCTTGTTTAATTTCAAATAAGGTGAAACTTGATAGCCCAATACTAATTCGAAGGCTCTAAAGATTTGAGCAAATTTTGGCAAAACAGGATGTTGTACAAGATGTTCCAACAAGAAGAATTCTGCTGAAAGAAGACATGTTGGATAAGATGTTCCAACACGATGTTAGGACATCATGTCTGTTACTGATGCACATGATTTTGTTTCAATAGAATATTTGCAGATTAGTTCCAAATTTTAAGGCATGGATCAAAGAATAATTAAACAGATATTTCGAAGCCCACGGACTGCTGAAGATTATAAAAGGAAGACCAAGATGTTAGGGTAGAATGAGAATTCTTATTAAGACTTTTGTAAAGTAGAAAATAAGGATTTAGGGTTTTGAAAGTTGTGTACCTTCTTGTGTTGTAAGTCACCTTTTGTATCGATTGATGCATTGTGGTAGACATAGATTTACAAATTTATAAGTCGTGAGGTAATGAATTATGTATTGTTCTTGGATGAAGCTTTGAAGCAAATTCATGAATTGTTTATCAGTCAAAAGTCTTGACTGATTGCTTATCAGAATGATGCAGTTACAGGATGTAGTAAAGGTTAGGTATCACAGGTTGTGATTTAAGGATAGAATTGTACTGGGTAGGGATTAAGTGAGAAGTTGTAAACAGGGGAGTTTAGCTCTAAAATAATACTGCTAATAGTGAATTCATTCATGATATGGTAGCTCCCAAATGTAGGTGTTGTTGTTTGTAACACCCCATTTAATAATTTAGTCGTTTTACGATTTATTTTGTGTGCTTGTTTGACATTGTCTTAATTAAGGGTGCGTGGTTTTAAGGATGACTGTGAGGAATCAACCTTAATTGAGTAACGTGAATAAAACCTTAAAATAATATGGTAATGATAATTAATTAATAATAAGTGGAAAATATTAGTAATATTGTTGTTATTATTATTACTACCATTATTATTATTTTTATTATGATTGTTATTATTATTATTATTATCATTAATAATAATATTATGAGGGAATTAATGAAGGGAGATAAAAACAAATTAGGAGATATTAGTGGGAAATTATAGAAAAAGCAGTTAACATGTGAAAAGAGAAGAAGAGAAAGAAAAAGAGAGAACTAGGGCAAGAGGCGATTGTCGCTACTGCGAAAATCGGCGCCGGCTGACAGAAGAGTCGCCACCGTGCGTTATTTATCCCTCAGAGCGGGAAAGGAAACGCTCGAAGTAAACCTCGCAAAAAACGGGGAAAAGGTATGGTCATCGCAACCATAGCCTGGGTTCGGGAGTCGGTTACGCAAGGGGAAGGTATTAGCACCCCTCACGTCCGTCGTACTCGACGGGATCCACGCTTGCTTGGGTTGTCTACTGGATGCAAAACAATCTATCTACGGCTGCTAAATCTAAAAGGAAGGGAATTGACTCGATAGAGCGTCGCACTCTATGCCTACGTATTCTCAAGAGAGAAAGTCAGAGTCAACGTAGTTCGGGACTACGGGGAAAATTGGCTCGCCAAGACCTCGCGTCTTGTGCCTACGTACTTCCACTGGATGGAAGATCAGAGCTTTACGTAGTTCAGACTAACTATGGCTAAACAAACATTCTCACACAGCAGTGAGAAAAACAACTGGTTTCACAGGGTCGGGAACCTATGGGCAAAACTATGGCTTGGTCTCAAATGCACTCGGGCAAGAGAGAAAAAAGGTAATCAATTAGTCGTCAGCGGGAAAGTCTCGATCGCACATCCGCGAGAGAACAAAAGTCAGTCGTTAGTGTGCTCGCTAGGATATCGCATCCTATGCCTACATATCTTCGTCTGGTACGAAGAATCAGAGCAGCTGTAGTTCGGCTACTACGGGACCACAGCTCAAATCTCGTTTTATTAATCTCTGAAAAATGATTACAATGGTTGCATACTGCAAATAAACTCCTAGGAAACGCTATCCTATTCTATCCTGAAAAATTGAATGAAAATAGCCCCCTAACAAATGGGCTTCTAAACTACCTCTAAAATCGGGAAAATAACTTCTATGAAAAGATCCTAAAAGAAAATGAACTCTAAAAATATTAAATCGACATTTTAATATTTTTTCCTTTTTTCTTCTTTTCTCTTCAACATATTGTTCCTTATATTTTTCTCTATTCTTTTTTTCAATATTTTTCTCCTTTTATTTTCTTATTTCTTTTTCCACAAATATTTCTTTTCACTTCTTTTTCTATTTTTCAAATGTTTTTCAATATATTTTTCAAATGTTTTTTCTATATTTCTTTTCTATTTTCTTTTTCAATTCAATTCTTTTTTCTATCTTTTTATAATATTTCTCTCCTTTTCTTTTCATATTTCTTTTTCAAATATGTTTTTTTTTATTTATTTTCCCACATGAACAATATATGCAAAAAAATATAAAAGAATAAAAGAAACAAAAATAAGGGGAGGGGGTATGCTGGTTACAAAGGGATTACACAAGCAGAAAAAAATAACACAAAACAACAAACTAAAGGGCCCAGCCCAATGTGTCTGCAAAAAAAAACGGAGGAAGGACACAAAAACGGGGGGGTGTTGCTGGGAAATGTTGGGCCCAACCCAGAAACACAAGCAAAAACGGAGAGGAGTGTGTGTCAAAAAAAAGATTGGGCCTGAGGCCCACGACCCATCCTCTCCTTCTCCCTCTCTGAACGACCAACCCTAATCTTCTTCTCTCCTTCCTCATCAGCGCCGCTGCCAACTTCTCAGACTCCTCCTTATCTCCTCCGTTCACAAACTTCACCAGAACGAAGAACACCGCCTCACACGAATTAATAAATATCATCCCCATCCTGATCTCTCCACCCTTTCAATTCCATCCTCCTCTAACTCTTAACAGCAACTCAGGTGGATCTGGAGAAGTTCTAATGGGTCTTGGTGAAGAAAATCTGGAGAAGGTTCATGCAAACCTTGATTGGAAGCCATTAACGACGGCTCCTGATCTGGAGATCTATTCTTGAGAACGAACGAAGTTGCGATCGAGTTTTGGTGAATCTTGAAGCAGTGTAGAGTTGACAAATCAGAGGATGAACGATGAAGATCTAGAAGAATTCTATGAAGACCACTCAAGATTGATGAAGATGTTTGGAGTAATTTCTGGGAAGTGTTCTTGATACATGCGTGATTGGTGATTTTCTGGAGATGAAGATCGAAGGCGCTTTCTGGAATTTCTGGTGATGATGAATCTGGAAATTGGTTGAGCGTTGGATCCTGAAGATTTTCATGAACGTTGTTGCATGTGATGAGTCCTGGAGATTTGGATAATCGTTCTGGAAAGAAGATGAACAAGTGATGGAGTGGATGAATCTTTAGTGTTCCGTGAAGATGATGAAGATTCATGATTCTGGAGATTTTTGAGTGAGGAATGATAAACAAGGTTGGATCGGAGATGGAGGTTTTTGATGTTTCCGGCAATGTTCATGGTGGTGGTGGTCGGAAACTGGAGAAGATAGGAGGAGCAGGGAGATGAAGACTAGGGGAAGGGATGAAGATGGGATGAATCTGGTAGTTTCTGGCGGTTGGTGATCGGAGAGATTCAGGCGCGGCGGCCGCCGGCCATGCATGCCGGCCGGTGGGC